GGAGAAGCGCAGCCACCTCTTGTTCAGTAGCCGGGTAGAAAGTCTGGAGGGTAGGGAAAGCAAGATTTACATGTGGTGGAGAAAGAGAACGGCAAGGAGGGGAGAATTGCTTCCTTAGCTGTTCAATCTTGTCGGTAAAGTAGCATGCAAAGCTATCAGCTGTAAGGTTAGTTTGGGGGGTGGCCACAGCAGGGCGGAGAAGGGAATTAAAGGTGTCAAAGAGACGTCTGGGATTGCGGGAGCATGAACTAATGAGAGAGGAAAAGTATGACTGTTTGGCGAGAGCGAGGGCTGCGCTGTATGAAAGCAACATGAATCTATAATGGAGAAAGTCTGCCTGGGTGCGGGACTTCCTCCAAGAGCGTTCAGCACACCGGGAGCAACTCTGCAGATAGCGTGTTGATTTATTATGCCAAGGTTGGGGTCGTGTCCTCCTCGAGGTGTATGTTTGGAGCCGGGCTGCAGCGTTCAAGGCAGATGTGGGGGTAGTGTTATATGTGGAGATGGCCAGTGAGGGACAGGAGAGGGAAGGGATGGATAGCAGTTGTGAATCAATGTCAGCTGACAGCTGCTGGAGGTTAATAGAGTTAAGGTTCTTCCTGAGCTGAGGGTGGTTAGGCTGAGATTGTTGGGTGAGGGGGTAATTGAGAGCAAACGATAAGAGGTGGTGATCAGAGAGAGGAAATGGAGCGTTGCAGATATTAGATATTGTACATGAATAAGAGAAAATAAGGTCGAGGGTATTGCCAGCTACATAAGTGGGAGAATTAGCCCACTGCAAAAGTCCAAGGGAGGAAGTGGGATGAAACCCACTTGATCCGCATGAAGCAAGCGTCCCAGAAATTGGGTTGAGTCACACTGCAAGTATCTTAGTGAATAGCTTTGCGTCAGGATTGATTAGTGAAATGGGTCTATATGCTTCTGATAGCATATGGTCCTTACCTGGTTTGGGCAGCAGTATTATATTAGCTAGGGCCATGTCACAATCTGGCGCGCCGCCCGGACCGAGTTAGTTGAAAAGAGATTCCAACTGTGGTGTAAGTTATTCTCTACACATTTTATAATACCCCCCTTGAATCTATCCGGGGTTTTGTTACTCTTGAGAGCAGAGATTGCCCTGCTTATTTCTTCTCTCGTAATTAGGACCGTTAGGGTCAGTACTGCCTCGTTTGAAAATTTAGGTTTATTAATCCTTTGGTGGTAGGCCCGAATACGTTCCTGTGCCCCGATGGGTTGGCGCCTGTTTACGCTGTGTGGTTGTATAGGGCGTGGTAATATTCTGTGAAGACTTGTGCGCTCTCCCGTGGGGAGTTTTGGATAGAGCCGTCTCTCTCTGATTGCTGTTATGTGAGGGTGTCTTTGCCAGGGCTGTAAGGCCCTTGCCAGCATAGTATCCATTTTATTGGATTTTTCATAGAATGTCCGTTTAGACCATTGTAAGGAGCGGGCTGTGTCTTCAAGGAGGATATCTTTGATGGAGTGTTGTAGAGCCCACAGTACTGTTAGGGTCCATGGGGTAGGGTTCATTTTGTGTTGTTGTTCTAGCTTGCAAAGCGACTCAAGTTGCGCTGTTAGTAATTTGGTTTTCTGTTGTTTCCTGTGGGTAGCCATTTTTATGAGGAACTTCCTGATCACCGCCTTGTGCGCTGCCCAAACTGTAGCTTCCGATATTCCCGGAGTCGTATTGGTGTGAAAGTAATTGGTTATTTCCCTGCGTAGGCATGTCAGTAAGATGGGGTCCCTGAGGAGCAAGGAGTTGGCCTCCACGTCCACGGGGATGAGGAGCTTATGTTGCCCAGGGTGATACTTACATCAGCGTGTTCCAACCAAGTGATGGACCCGATATCGGTCTTCAAAACTTTGTGCATTCCGAGATTATTCATGAGGAAATAGTCAATCCTCGAATATGTGTTGTGGGGGGCCGAGTGATGTGTGAAGTCCGCAGTACAAGGGTGTTTTGCTCTCCAAGCATCAATATGGCCTTTATGCCTAAAGACGTTATGAATGAGTTTGTCCCGTGCGCCCATGCCATGGGAACATGTTACACTGCGTTAAAGTCCTCTCCCAGTAAAATGATACCGTGTGGTAAGGAGACAATTATCGAGATTAGATTATCCCAGAATGTTTGAGTCGGGACATTAGGGCGTAAACGTTGAGAAAATTTATTGTTTGGGAGAACATTTGTCCCGACAGGACCATGTAGCGTCCCTCCGGGTCTGAGCCCGCACTCGTGATGGCAAATGGGCATCTTTTGTGTATCAGTATCAGGTTAAGTGGGAGACATGTTCCGCCACGTGGTTGTGGGCCACCATGGTGGTCTCTGTGCGTTGCTCCAAGATGGAGGTGCGCGCCCCTAGCGCATGGATCTCATCCTTCACCTCCTTGGATGTGCTTGCGATTTCCTGGGCCAGGTAGGATTTACTTTGGCCAATTTTGTGAGGATCTGATGGGCTTCCGTCTGTGGTCCTTTGGACCCCTGTGTTATGTCTGAGCCGGGTGCAACTGAGGCCTGTGTACGAGGGCTGTCGCCATTATGAGCATCAGGCCGCCCCACACGCGAGGCTGCAAATAGGTCCATGACCGATGAGTTTAGGTCGGTTTTCTTGGTGTGCGTATATCCATAGCTGAGTACAGAGCAGCATTGAAATACGACAAAATAGCTTACAGTCAATGCGACAGCAAAACATTCCAGTTGCAAAAGTAATTTATTAAAGAAATATGTCTTATGTTATGACCAACACACCGCTCCAAGGATATAAGTGTATAAAAAGAAATACAAGAAAACGAGAAGAAATACAAGAAAATGAGGGCCAGGCACAGTCTAGGATATTATAACCAGTGTATATTGGAAGCAGTTAAACCCATTTCAGACAGATTTTATTTAATTTGGAAAGTGATCCAGCATGTCTGTGTGACATCTTTTCAATAATCTTTGTGTTATCTTGTCTATCCCATGGTGTCTGCAATGAAGAGGGATTTGTAGATTTCCTATAGACACCTTTGCTGCTATTTGTATATGAATGGCTATACCGGTATATCGTAGCATTACTAAAGGACTGACTAGCTCAGAGGACCAGGAGAGGGGTGTGATAATTGATTCACTGCGTTAGTCCTTCGATGAGATTCATTAGTAAAAGAGCATTAAACCTATACGTGTGCATCAGTAAGTGAGGGGAAATGATTGCTGCTTCAGTTGGTTTTTGAGATCCAGCTCACCCCTCATTGTATGGATTGACAAACTGTTTTAATGAGCTTGTCAGGAGTATTTCCCTCTGTCAAGAGTTAATCACTCTATTCCACTTGTATTGCTGTATATCACTATGGGAAATGATTGCCAATCCTGATTGCACACGTTCACAGTTTCAATATGTAATTTGCATATTAAATACATGTATTGAAGTGTTCAGAATCCAGGCTTAAAGATTATTTTAGGTCGAAACATTGACAGGTCCACATATTGATAGAATACAAGTCATAAAGATTTGATGATGTTTCAGAGATTTTTGTTCTCTGTACCATGATCAGTGCAATTCAAACAACTGTAGTCATGTAGGCCAGAGCCACAAAATATATAACACGTAATGTTGGAATTCCCTTTTCAAACAAAGGCATATGATTGCTATGTTGAAAATACCCACTGTAACTTAGTCTTGCTGCCATTTTAAACTTGTATTGTTCCGCTGTTTTCTGTTTGTTACCTCCACTACGTACACAGTTTGGGGTTTATTGACTAAATATTGAATTGCTAAATTTATGCTAAAATAGCAAAGTGATTACTACAGCCAATTAGTAGATTATTACTATTCAGTTACTTTTGTCCAAATTTTGTAATTTGGTTTTCAATTCGCTGCAATCCTTTTCCACCGGGCATGACAGCAAGGCACTTCCTCGCATTCGACCAACGCGATATATCACGACTACTCCACCTGTACCGCCAGGGAGAAACCTTCAAATACAACGAACTTCCCCAAGCGGACACCCTAACCACATCGGACCATTTCCGATATATACAGCTCCGAGACCTGGCACAACAGCCCATGATCAAGCAAGCAGGCATCTCACCTCCGACGACATTCGAGAAGCAGTGTTTCGACGCACCCCTACAATCGGGACAAATCTCCGCCCTCTACAACACACTGACGACCCACGCCTCACAGGTCAACCTCACCTACATCGCCGCATGGGAGCGAGATTTGGGACCACCAGACGACCCGAGCGATTGGGCCGAAATCTGGGAAGCGACAAACTCCATAACGGTCTGCGTCACACACAAAGAACAAGCATATAAGACGCTGCACCATTGGTATCTGACGCCACAAAGACTCTATAAAATGAGCCGAAAACCCGATGATGGGTGATGGAAATTGTGCGGCGCTACTGGCTCCTACCTACATTGCTGGTGGACATGCCCCAAACTCAAACCACTCTGGGGCCAGGTAAGCAATCTCATTGAAACGATCATAAACAAACCAGTCACCACACAACCATGGACCATGCTTCTCAGCAAACCGTTAGATTCGCTAACAAGAAGTGAAAACAAACTAACCGCCCGCATCAACCTAGCGGCGTGGCGAGCGATAGCAGAACTGTGGGCTAACCCCAAAATCCCCACGACCACAACCATAATAAGCAAAATCAAAGAAACCCGTGACCTGGACGAACTAACGGCACAAATAAACGATACATATAAAGCGTTCTTCTTTTCTTCTTTCTTTCTCTCCTCTCTCTCCTTCTCCTCCCCCCTCTCCTTCTCCCCCCACCCGCGCGAGGCGAGGAGCGGAGCGGCACCTCCCGCCAAGCCACCCTACACAAAACCAACCAAAGGCGGAAACCCGCGCCCCTCCCCGACCCCCTAACCGCCCTGTCCAAAAGCATACGGGGTCCAGTCCCCCGATAGCAACCCTACCCGAGGCAAGCAAACAGCACCTAACAGCCATCAAAACACCCAGGAGATACAGGCCTCGCAACCACGGATAGGTCCCTAGAACACCCATCCCTCGATGACCAACGGACCACAACATGCCTGCAACAAAGGGCAAGCACACACGCCCCGAACCCTAGAATGCACTGACACACAGCAGCTGCAAACGGAGGATTCCCAAACACCTGAAGGCTGTAACATGAGGGAGCACATAAATGGAACCACACGCCAACCCGCCCTTCCCCTCTTCTCAGCCCTCGATCTCCCACATGGTCGCCCACACAGCACAAACACAGTACAGACCCTAGAAGAGGGCGATGCGGCAGCGGGGGTGAGGGGGAGGGGGTAGGGGGAGTAAACTGATAGGACACCCCTATTCCCTCCCTTTTATTCTGTACCCTTCCCCGACCCAAAGAGCTAGAGTCAGGACAAATGTCATATGCAGAGTAACTTCGAACAAGCAACTACCAAATGACGGATACGCAGTATGTACACCAAACAAGAATTACATGCATGACTGTTATACCTTACAAATGCAAAATGTACTCTATGCAAAATGTACCAATACTCTTACTCCCCTGTTGTCTTCTGTACCCCAACCCAAACGAACACGAAAATCTTAAAAATAAAGAATTTCAAAAAAAATTTGCTGCAATCCTGTGTTTAGTGAATGAACCTCTTTATTTACTCCAAATGCTTTTGTTGCATCACTATATTCTCCTTTTTTTCCGTATCCCTTGTTCCTTTTTTTATCAAATTCTAAATATTTCACGTTTATTCCTTTTTCACATTTTAATCCTGACTGGCCTCTGCATTATTGGAAAAGTTGTTTGTAATCATTCACCTAGCATATATGCTTTATTATTATCCATTCATGTAATTTGAAATGCATTTCACATAATAAAATAAAGCTTGTTAAATAAAGAAATATTAATTGGTGAGTAAAGTCTGTTTTTTAGTGAGTTGTAAATATAAGTTTTTTTATAAAATGGGTTTCATTGGTTTATTTTTTTTTTCTTCTAGCACTGTAATGTGCAAAGTCCAGTACAGAACATTTATTCGTGTACGTTTACCAAAAAAAAAGTCAAATTCAGAAATGGAGGGGTTAAAACGAACAGCTTAGAAATTATAAAAATAATATAAGGTGCTTTGCTATAGCAACCCATTTAAGTAAAGAAATGTGACGTTCATGCGGCAAATTTTTTCCCCTGCAAATCATAATATTTAGAAATTGTGTCTGAAAAAAGTATACAGGGAAAGGGATAAAAGGGCCTCTTCTCAATAGTCCTATAAGTATTTCCTCCTCCGTAGTATGCCTTATTTTAAATCCTATAATTTGCTCTTTTTCCGTTATTTATTATACAGATTATATATGATATGCAATGTCCCTTTCCCCTTCCTCTCACCTTCTTCAAACTTGAGTCCTTGGTTAGCAGCATCATAATTGACATAGGCGTGCGCAGCCTATTGTATAAGGGTGTGCACCCTAAAGCAGACACACACACGCCGCGTATATATATATATATATATATATACATATATATATATATATATACACACACACACATACTGCTGTGTGAGGATGATGTGTGCGGGCGCTGTGTGTGTGTGTGTGAGAGTGCTGTATGTGTAAGGGAGCTGTTAGTGTGTGTGTGTAAGGGTGCTGTTAGTGTGTGCTTGTGTGTGTGTGAGGGTGCTGTGTGTAAGGGTGCTTTTAGTGTGTGTATGTGTAAGGGTGCTGTGTGTGTGTAAGGGTGATGTTAGTAGGTGCTTTGTGTGTGTAAGGGTGCGGTAACCGCGGCAACGCTTCGAGCTCGCGAGAGGAACCCGACGGAACTGCTGGCAAGAGCACCCCGGGTCCTCTCCTGACTCCCTCCCTGCCTGTGGGTCGGTGAGGGAGATCTTTGATTTTACATGTCTCTAAAAATATTCTTATACACTTACCCTTGTTCCGAATGTCTCTCTTAAAGGGACACTATAGTCCGCAAAACAACCTTAGCTTAATGAAGCAGTTTTGGTATATAGATAATGCTCTTGCAATCTCACTGCTCAATTCTCTGCTATTCACAAGTGAAATCACTTTTGTTTCTGACTCAAACGGCCTGCATAAAGAAAAATGGTTTCTGTCTTGTTTATACTGTTCTAATGAGCTACAATGCTTCTATACTTGCAATAAAAAGGACCTGCGTGTACATTTGTGATACCACTGGTTTTGAGACCAGTCTTACTAATTTCTGCAAAACTTAAATAAAAAGAAATGTACAATAAATTGTTTCATTTTCTATCAGATGTTAACTTGCTTTAGAAGGTTTATTTCCTGCTCTGTAAATAGAATTTTAATCACAGAGAGGCTCTTGCAATGTATAGCACGCCATTAAAAGTGCAGGAGATACCAAGTTCTAAATTAAACAAACTACATTAAAGGAAATGTAAACATTAGATTTCTCTTTACAGGAAGTGTTTAGGAAGGCTGTGCAAGATACATACAAGGAGGTGTGACTACGTATAAACAAAGTGATTTAACTCCTAAATGGCAGAGAATTGAGCAGTGATACTGCATGGGGCATGATCTATACACCAAAACTGCTTCATGAACCTAAAGTTGTTTTGGTCACCATAGTGTCCCTTTAAATTCCATACCACAATTTATCTCAAAAGTTATACTTTTTTTTTTTTACCAGAGGCAAAATGGATGCATACAAAAATTACATGTTTCAATCCATGTATCAACATAGGTAGAAGGAAAAAATATATAGCTAAGAATTCATCATATGTTTCCCTCATTCTTTGTATCTCAGTCCTATATAGCACTCACAACTCCCCTTATTTTCAACCTAATACAGTATTTATTTATTTAATTATTTTTATATCCCAACAACCTTCCTATTAAAATATACAGTTCATTCAATTTAACAAATAGAAATGTGTGAATTCACCAACACCCGCTGGTTTTCTTTTTGGGATTGTTTGGTGTTTTTTTTTTTTTTATTTGCTGGTGGTGTATGGTGGGGATACACCTGGGTGGATTTGTGTTTTTATAGTAGTGGTTACTGACTTCTTGTAATATTTGAACTATTTGGCTGTAGCAAAAGACAGTTTGTTCACCAAAGGGAGAGTTAAAGAATGATTGTCTTGAAACATGGTGAAGGTTCAGTGCAAGTCTGGAACTGCAATTTGCAAATGGTGTTGGGAATTTTGTCAGAATTAATGGCCTTGTTAATGCTACACATTGCAGGCAGATAATTGAAGATCATGCTAGCGTCAGTGTACCTATAATCTTAATTTTAATAATGACAAGAGGCTTCCTATTTTGCATTTCTCTCTTTACTAAACTCCACAGCAGTAAAGAAAGTGAAACATTTAACCAATCAAAATGCAATAGGGAGTAAGGTATTCCCAGCAAATAGGCTCCTCCTCCTCTTTCTTTACTGCTTCATCGCAGACAGGTCAGAGTTTTTGGCTCTTCCCTTACTTATATGTATATTGTAATATTATTATTATATATTAATTGGATTATTACCTTTGTAAGGTTTTTTACATGTTATATACTTTCATGTGCTTATACTTACATTCTGGTACTTTTCTTTCTAGTACTTCCTGAGTTTATTTCGACTAACCGTTTTACTTTTACTTTACTTTTATTTACATCTAGAATAATCCTGCTTTCTGATGCCTTGTAGCATCTGCCCGTTTTAGGCTGTGTGGTGGTTTATTTTATACGCCCTTGGCTTTCCCTTATGTTTGCCTGACCGCCTGATTCATATGAGGTACATCCTTTTTCACCTCCCAGCCTATTACCGCCCGCGGGCGGGCGGACCTGATCGCCCGACGGTTTGCTCCACCGTCGGACGCCTTGCCTCCCTGTCCCAGTCCCCACCGCCACCTAAGCGGCTCTGTCACCTCACTTCTCGCCGCCGATCACAGCTCCTGTTATTAATATTAAGCATACTGAAACTTAAGCATGGAGACCAGGATAACCCCCATCGGTAAAAAAAATTAAAAAAATAAAGTGGGGGTGAAGTGGGGCTTCTGTCACTGTTTTCTACGCAGCAATATCAATCTGAAATTGAATTATCTTCCTGCGAGAGCATAGCTTCTCAACCAAATTACAGGTCTTGCAGTGAGCAGCAGGCCACAGAGGTTGAAAACGGAGTTCTCAAAGGCTAAGCGTCACAAAAAGCTTATCAAAATGTTGCTGGAGGATTATTTATGCCAGATAGCGATAAGTAATGAAAGCAGCTGTAAATAAGCTGGACGGCTGAAGATTATCAGACTTAAGACCAGAGCTGTGAGAGATAACATCCTGTCAGCTCAATGGTCTGGCCCCGCCAGATGTTTAAACAGCAACTGGATGAATACTTGTAAAAACATAATATTCAGGGGTATAATTTTTTAAAATGATTTATGAAAAGAGACATATGTGAGAAAGGCTGAACTTGATGGATGCAAGTCTCTTTACAGCCTATGTAGCTATGTGATTCCAGCTACTGTTATTCACATATGAAATAGCCATGGATGATTCTGGTCATACTGCAAAATACATTTGGAGCCAATCAGGTGCCTCCCTGATTGTATTGTGTGATGGATAATTTTATCACGTGACAGGAGGCTTCCTATTTTGCATTTCTCTCTTTACTAAACTCCACAGCAGTAAAGAAAGTGAAACATTTAACCAATCAAAATGCAATAGGGAGTAAGGTATTCCCAGCAAATAGGCTCCTCCTCCTCTTTCTTTACTTCTCCATCGCAGACAGGTCAGAGTTTTTGGCTCTTCCCTTACTTATATGTATATTGTAATATTATTATTATATATTAATTGGATTATTACCTTTGTAAGGTTTTTTACATGTTATATACTTTCATGTGCTTATACCTACATCGTGGTACTTTTCTTTCTAGTACTTCCGGAGTTTATTTCGACTAACAGTTTTACTTTTACTTTACTTTTATTTACATCTAGAATAATTCTACTTGCCTTGTAGCATCTGCCCGTTTTAGGCTGTGTGGTGCTTTATTTTAAACGCCCTTGGCTTTCCCTTATGTTTGCCTGACCGCCTGATTCATATGAGGTACATCCTTTTTCACCTCCCAGCCTATTCCCGCCCGCGGGCGGACCTGATCGCCCGGCGGTCGGACGCCTTGCCTCCCTGTCCCAGTCCCCACCGCCACCTAGGCGGCTCTGTCACTTCACTTCTCGCTGCCGATCACGGCTCCCGTTCCCGCCTTCAGTCACGCGGTGGCCATTTGCAATCTCGCGAGATTGCGGCCGCTATTTTGGGACTCACTTCAGTGCCGCGAGTGTCACGTCCGGAGACAGATTTGCTTTTGCTTTGTGGGTAACACCAATGCCGTCCTCTCCTCCGAGCGGCGCAAGGCAGCACTACTCCACATAGACTGAAAGTTGGTGGAATTGGGCACCAA